TTTGATCTACTGTTCAAATTATTTTTGATCTGTTTTAAGTCTAAATAACTTTTTAGTAAAATAATTAAGCAGCTATGAATATTTTATGCTGTTTCTAATCTAATGAGACTAAAAAGTTTTAAAAGTTTGATCGGTTTTTAGTCTAGTTAATTTGTAGATGGACTTAATGTATTGTTTTCAAATTCAATATGAAATCTTATACTGTTTTTGATCTACAATTTTCACTCTAAATGTTCGAAGGTCAAAAGTCGACTAAGGTGGTGACTTATAATTTTTTGGACCCAAAAGTATCTCATTAAAAATTATAAGTCGCATTTATTTAAAAAAATAAATTAATTTATAATATATTCATGCGCTCTCTTGTTTTATGAACTGAACGTCGATTATAACCTTACATCTGTCATATTTATTTGTCATAGCTCAACATTTCATGGATTATAAAAGTTTTGTAACTGCGAATATTAGTTGCAGTGATAATGATAAATTGATAACTAATAAATTTGTATTAACATACGTATGTAAAATAGTTCTCATCATAAAATAGGTCTTGAAATATCAATTTGTTCGGGAGTAATCGTTGGTACATCCAAAATGGGGTGACATCCGGACGTCCACGTAAAATTTTTTTCAAAACGTTTTTTTTTTTTTCAAAATAGCTACATGAAATGATTTTAGAAAGTAGAAGTGTAATATGGTTGTGATCGAGGCATTTAAAGATCACAAAATTGCTTGACCTTGACGAGTCGAGTATAAAGCACAACCTCACGCGCTTCGCGCTATGAGGCGTGCAATAAAAATGTCTACTATTTTTTAACTCAAAGTTTGAACTAAAAAATATGGGATTTAATACATTTAAAGCTTTTGATACTTAAAAAATCAAAGATCATCAGAAGAAAACACTGTTTTAAAAATTTTCAAACGGTTTAAAAATCTTAAAGCTAAGTTAAGAAAATATTTAAAAAAAAATCTTAAAATAGTTTGTAATTCTTTACTACGTTATTTGATTTTGATCCGCTCTTCAGCATTTTAAGTCGATTAGCTGAAAAATTTTTTAACTTTTTCAAAAAGACGAGAGATAACATTTCTTATTTTTAAATATCATTAAAACAGCTAAAATTAATAGATTTTCTAAGCAGGAACTTAAAAAGTTATGGATCATTTTGAAAAAAATTAATTTTTGGTCCTTATTTTTGAGTTATCACTTCACTTATTTAATTTAAAAGCTTTGATTAAACTGTATACAGTTTTTATCAACAAGTTTAGCCTTGTCAGGGACATTGTATACAATGACACCGTGTCCTCGTTGCGGTGATGGCTTTTAAGAATACTTTTAACAAGTAATAAAAAAAAAAGAAAGTTTTAATTAATACAATGTCAAATCTCCAAGATTATTATTTAAAATCTAAAAATATAGATTTGAATTTATTTATAGTTAATCCCATAATTCAGGAAGATACCCATCGGTATACGAATGAGCTTTTTAAAACATGTTTTATGATTTTACATTGAAACTTTTCAAATTATTAAGCTATAAATTTCTTCAGAACTTTTTAGCAACCATAAACTCTGTAAAATTATCGTTTAATTCTTATAATAATTTAATCGGTACTGTGAGTGCTTTCACTTAAATTTTATTAAAAATTTAAGTTATTTCTTTTACAACAAAAACTTTGCAGTGTATAACTTTTACGTTAAAATATTTTTAACAATATTGTACTTTTTTAAGGCTTAATGATTGCAATAAAGTCACAAAAAAACTTTTTATTACGTTCAAAGAAAATGTTATAATATAAGCTGATAGGGGCTTACAATATGAGTGTTTAGTAATTGTTTTTATTTTTTTAATACTTAAACATTTTCTATAAAAGACAACCTTTATATTTAAAAATTTATTTTTTCATTTCATTCCCATAAAGTATATCAAAAATCTTAAGATGACATAATTTTTTTTTTATTTACCTGAAATATTTTTTAGACGTCTATTTTAAAAAATCAGTAAATATGAAAAAAAAATAGAAAAGGAAATTATTTTTAAGATGATTATTATTATTTTGTTAGAAATAATTTAAATGGGTGCTTGTAAATATTCTTTGTAAATAAATAAATTAATACATTAGTTGTTATATTGATTAATAATTTATAAATCATGTTTTAGTGCGATTAATTATAATTACTAGTTTATTTATTCAAGAGTATTAATTATAGAAACCTGATCGCTGTTTATAGAATCGAATATTAAATTAAGGATAAAGCAACTACTCAAAAATGTAATTTTTGTTTTATATTTCTTATGTATATCTCACTATCAGCGTACAATGCGCACTTAAATGATAAATTTTGTGAAAAGTTGAAAATTCAATATTTCACCTTAAAGATTTAACAGATTTCTGAATTCGAAAAATTAAATTTTTATATCAGTCGTTAAAGGACGTTCATGCTCTACGCTAAAGTCAAATTAACAATTTTTATGAAATTTATTGGGGTCTTTAGAAAAATTTTCAAGTATAGCAATAATCTTACAATGATTTATAATTTTTTTTTTTACCTGAAATATTTTTTAGGAATCAGCTTTATTCAGGTGCTTGTTTTCAATACGGTTAAAAATTAACAAAAATAATTTTCTTGCTCTCCTATCCGAAAGTACGCTCTTTCTGGACGCATTTTACTCCAGAAAGAGTAACATTTGTGGCTTGTTTTGGCGCATGCGCGCTACGCATATTTTCTGGCCGGGCAGCACAGAACCTCGCTTTTTTTCTTATTTTCATGGCGTGAGTTTCAACTGTCTAACAGTCACAACATCGTCTGTATGTAACATGTCAGCGCATAAACTAACCAGAAAATGTCAAAAAAAATAATTTATAACTAGATTATCATTAGTGAAGTATTTAATAATAACACTACATAAATGATTTATATAAAAAGTTTATACAAAATAAAATATAAAAGTTTTGTGGACTTTATTTGCTTTCTTTTATATTTTGACAGCTAGTCAAGCAGTGTTTATAAAACAATGTACTCTACAAAAGCTTTTAATAATTTAATTTCAATCTTTCTTAGCCGTCGATTACTAACTAAAAATTAATTTTTAATCAACTCAAAAATATAAATTCTGTTATTAGAACGAGTTTAAATATTTGTGCCAAGTTCTGTGCATTTTATCACTCTAAATTAGAACAATTTTTAGTAAACTTTAGAATAACTTATTTTTTTTTTTTAATTTATTAATTTTTACTTTTTTTTGTCCGCCCCGACCAACAAAGCCTCGACTTCGCCTCGGCTTTGCAAAATCCTTTCGCAGAGTTGCGTACTTTCGGGTGGAGAATCCAACTTTCTGGCCTAGGGTTGTAATATACTATTTAATTATACCAAGTAAAATAATAAATAATTAATTCAAACGTTCGTCAACACTATCTTTTTTATACATTTATAAAAACTAAATAAATGAATTAGATAATTTTTTCAAACATTATTTATCATGTTTTAATATTTATTTCTTCCTAAAGACTGGTTTTTTAATACTTTTTTTTTTTTATTTTCAGTTAATTGGCTATTCAGTGTAATACAACAATTTTTATTATTTTTTCGTAATATTTTTTAGCCTGTATTTATCTTTAATGACAAATTTAGATATGAATTGTGACTAAGTTGTAAGTTATATGCCTGGAGGGAAAAACAGGCTAAAAAATATTACGGAAAAATAAAAATTGTTGTATTAGACTGGATAGCCACACTGATAAAAAAATCGATTCGACTTAAAAGCCAAAATCTTTAACCAAGAATACCATTTTGAATAAAATGATTCTCTTGAGTCAGGAGAATAAATTCTTGAGTTAAAAAATTATTCTTGATTTAAGTAAATTTTTCTTGTCTTAAGAATTTATTCTCTTGAGTCAATTTAATTTTTTTATCAGTGCAATTAACTGAAAATCGAAAAAAAAATTATTTATTAAGGTTACTTCAATAATATAAATATTATAATTTTAAATTCAAAAAAATGCTGATCTGCCATAAGGTTGTATGTTAAAAACCTAATTTGTAATCGTTAAAACTTTTTGAAATAATTGATAACGAATTTTCAATTTTTGATAGAAAATTACAATATAATTAAACTTATCAAAACTAAAAAATATAAATTTATATCTACTATTGAGCTTAAATTCTTATTAAGTATAAACTTATCATAATTTTTTTTTACCCAAAAAAATCTCAATTTCTTTTTGACTAAGCGAAAAATGATGAAAATTTGAGATAATTTTTTCTCTTTTACTACAATTCACTGAAATATAGCCTAAGTATTTTTTTGACTTTCTAAGTTTCTAAAAATATTTTTACCATTCCCCAAATAAACAAATAATTCGAAACTAAAATAATTTTTTTATTACACTGTGATTTCACAATCGTAAAATAATAATTTATGAATTTGAGTGGATCTAAAATTATTCATGGGGATTAATGTAGATCTTAAACATGTTAAAATTAGATGATCTAGTTAAAAGTGTTGAAAATTCAATTTAAGGGCTGTATACTAAATTCTTGTTGAGTATGAAAAATAACTACTGCAAAATTATATCTATATATGTTTAAATAATTTACTCCACGTTCACAAACACATCAACGAGGTCAAATGTAAAAATTCCATATTGCATTCTTGTTGTTGGGTGCCTCCAGCTCAACGATACTCTACCTCTACACATTCCACCACGTCAGCGAGCCAGCCAGTTGAATGCTATACCTCCAGGATAATTGACCCAAATATAAACCCTGAAAAAAAAAAAAACAAGGATTCATAAATTATCCCCTTTATTTATGAGTGTTTAATAAAAAAGTCCACTAAAAAATGTTGATCCATTAAACAGAAAAATAAACAGTATTCTATAAATATAACCAATTTTCTAACAATACCCAGTTAAAATGTCTCTCCCGTAAAAAAAACTGCTAATGCACCTAAAATTTATCACGCTATAAAATAAATGACGATATTTATATTTTTAATTACAGATAAAGAACGTAAGCTAATGTAACATCCAAGGTCCGTGAGCCCGTGAAATCTGGCAAGTGTCACAGATTGGCCGTGTCATCGATTCGTCGAGCGCTGGCTCGTCGACGAGGATGAAGGCCGCCATCCCGATTCTCTATCTCGCTGCGTCATCATCAGTAACTTAATCCACCTAGCACTTAATCAGCATCAACTAAAAAAAGTTAATAATAAAAATAAAAATAAAGCTACGAATACGAATAGGAATAACGAAAAAGCAACTAAGAAAATAAAAAAACGAGAAGAAAAAGACCTAGAAAAAGAAGCTGCGTCACAAGTCGTCGTCGTCTTCAAACTGAGGATGGCGACGACAACGGATCCAAATCCCTCGGACACGTTACTGGATCCGTCAGCATCAAACTTAACGAATTCATCAAGTGCGACTAACGATAACACATTAAATTACACGACACCTCCACCATGGCCGGACTTATCGGTATCAGTTTCAGTAGGGTGTATCCTCGGTTTTATAATAATAGCCGCAGTATTTGGAAATCTCTTAGTGATAGTGTCAGTGATGCGTCATCGTAAATTGCGTGTAATGACAAATTACTTTGTGGTGTCACTTGCTCTGGCTGATATGCTGGTGGCAATGTTTGCAATGACATTTAATTTAAGTGTCCAGGTTACGGGTCGGTGGCTGTTCGGTTACTTTATGTGCGATGTTTGGAACTCGCTGGACGTCTACTTTAGCACAAGCTCGATACTTCACCTGATGTGTATCTCGCTGGATCGTTACTGTGCGATAGTAACACCGCTAAAGTATCCAGTAAAGATGACAAAGCGCGTTGTAGCGTACATGCTGTTAGCTTGCTGGGTATCGCCGGCAATCATATCATTTGTACCGATTTTCAATGGATGGTACACGACCAGTGACAACGATAACTTCCGCCACTTGCATCCGGATGTTTGTGAGTTCAAAGTTAACGAGGGTTACGCCATTTTGTCTTCAAGCATATCCTTTTGGATACCTTGCACAATAATGACCTTGACGTATTTTGCAATCTTCAAGGAGGCTAATAAGCAGGAGAAGCAGATGCACAGCAGAAGGGGTAATGCGATGCTACTTAGCCATCGACCTAGTCGTGATTTAAATAATTTAAACGGGGAATTGAACAGTGGGGGATCATCTAAAACGCTTACGCTTAATGAAATAAATACGGATCATTTGCACACGCCGACCAAAGACAAAAATTTAATGAAAATGAAGAGAGAACATAAGGCTGCACGTACGCTTGGAATAATAATGGGTACATTTATTTTATGTTGGTTACCCTTCTTTCTTTGGTATGTCAGTATAAGTTTGTGCGGCAGCAAATGCCCATGTCCGGAAATAGTCGTCAGCATTGTCTTCTGGATCGGTTACACTAATTCCGCACTAAATCCACTTATTTACGCTTACTTCAATCGCGACTTTCGGGAGGCTTTCAGAAATACACTACAATGTGTTTTCTGCTCACTTTGCAGAAGAGAACCCTTTGATCTTGAGACTCTTGACTTACGGAGACCTTCTTTGAGGTTGGTGCATTTCAATAAATTAAATTTGCTAGTGAGTTTTTTTTTAATAGTCTTTTTTTTTTAAAGAAATCCGACCACTGCCCATGCTCAGGAAATTAAATATATTGAATTCGGAAAAAACTGTTCTTAGAGCAAATTCAATTAGATTTATTAGATTTAACATTTATTTTATAAATATATAAAATGCATTTTATTTTCTTTTTAAATTTTATCTGGATTGATTTGGTATACCAAAAAAAAAAAAAAAAAAACAAATCATTGATTTTTGAGAGGAATTTTTTTATTTTATTATGTAACAAAAGCTCTCTATATCACTGAGAGAAAATTTTATTCAATAGTAATAAAATTTTATTACTATGTAATAAAACGTTTATTTGGCTAATAAAGGGGAAGGGGAAATAAACAAGTATAGGTTAGGTTAGGATGTCTCGTTGAAACATCTTTATACTATTTATTTGTTAAAAGATTTTATTGTGAAAATATATTTGAATATGATATAATTAATTAATAAATATTAATTTTTTTATGAAATTATTTGTTTTAATGACTTAATATTCGTATTAAAAACACATATTAGTATTTAAGAAAATTTTATTAAATACTAATAAAATTTTATTCATAGGGAATATAATTTTATTACTATTAACTAAGTTTTCTTTTCAAGTCCAAATAAACTTTTTTATTACTATTAAATAAAATTTTCTCTCAGTGAATATTTAAATATCTTCTCAATAAATAGGCGTGATTCTCTGTAAATATGTTTTTTGCTGTCCCAGGCATTTTTTTTATTAGAAAAATTGTTATTTTGTTACTAAAAAAAATTTATTACGAAAGTAAAAAAACATTTCTATTTGGAGCATTGAAAATTAAAATGAAATAAATTTTAGTTTTTTTGCTATAAATTCGTAAACCACTGAAATAACAGTCCCCTGGGCTGTCCCTTTTCCAAAATTGAAACTTGAAGATTAAATTTTAAGTTATTCGTCCATAATATATCATTTTGTTCAAACTGCTTATACGTTTGAAATTTCTCAATAATATCGTTAAGAAAGACCTTACACGGAAAAAAATAAACTTTAATAAATAACAGTCGAATTATAATAAGTAATGATCAACTGCTAAAAATTATCATTTCAAACAGTAAAATCGTGATTTTACTATTCACATTGTAATATTTACAATTTAAACGTTACAATTTATTCTTTCCATGGAAGAAAATACTATTTCAAACAGTAATATTCGCTATATAAATGTCTAAAATGTTAAAGTATAATAATTAAGAATCAGACTTTAATATTTATCATTTGGTACCTAAAAAATGATCTTATGATATGTAAAAAGTATAAAATAAAGTACACGGGAAAAAATTTCTGGGAAAATTTACGATACAACTATTGTAAAGCTGGACTATACCTTTATTACTATTAATTATCAAATATTTTAAAAGAAAAAATACTATTTATTAATGAAAAAATACGATATTACTATTGTAAAAAGTAAGAGATGAAAATTTCCAGTGCTGCCTCTGTATCTTTCCAATAGAACTATAGCAAATTTTACAATAGTTGAATTGGAATGTCTCTCAATTAGTGTGAGTGATGGCCGTGCACAGCGCTAGACTCTGAGTTTATATAAATGTTAAAGGACATGGGTTTTAGTTTACCGCGGATAGCCTAAAGGGAGAGTCTCTGGCTACCAACACAGAGTTCTAGGTTCGATTCCCAGATAGCACGAAAATATTTGTTTCTTTTTTCGATTACTGTACAGGTACCAATTCGTGCAACCTTCTATATTTCTCCCTCCCTAATATTTCTTTTAAAAAAACCAACTGTGAATTTTTACAATAGTTAAATTGTAAAATTCACAAACACATATTGTATAATTTGCTCTATAGTATTCGACTTTTTAAAACTCTTGCTAGTCTTATTTGTTGGATAAAATTTACAATAGTAGATCGTAAAAATTACTAAATGAGAAGTATAGTCCACCGTTACTATTTTATTTAGTAAAAATTACAATAGTAAAATAGTAATAACTCCTTCAATTTTCTTCCCGTGTAAGTAAATTTCTAATACAAGCAACGTCAATATTTACAAAGTAAAATGGTAAATTTTAATCGCAACGCTAAAAATCAAACTGTAATTATTGACTTTCTTAGACTGGTAAAATGTATATTTTAAAAGTATAATTTTTACTGTTTGAGATGTTAAATTATCCCAGAGTGAGACCCCCTTTTCTTTCATCAGAGTTCCCCTTCTCTTCATAATATGGACTATATATTGAAATGGCGATTTTTACTGGTTGAAACTGTAATTTTTTAAGATGAAAGAGTCGTTATTTACTATAGTGACAACTACTAATCACTTATTTTGGATATTAAATTATAAATTGTGGCTTTTATACTTTCTACATTAAGATCTGTAATATTTACATTTTTGCCACCCCGATGTCCGCTTTACTGTTTGAAACTATAAAAACTAACCGGAATCCCAGTGAATATTACAGTTTACTTTTTTCCGTGTATATTCCTCATTATTTTACCATTTCTTATAAGGTAAAAGCCCCTATTATTGACAAGGCGTCGATTATTGACACTCTATATAATTTTATTATTTAATTATTGAAATCTGTTAATAACCTCAATTGTTGATATTTCATGGCAATTTTACATATTTTTAAATTAAAAAATAGTAAAATTCAATTCCACGGTATAAACTATTTACCGCAAAAAAATTTTACTTTTTCAAGTAGGCCAAAATTGCTTATACGTTTGTAATTTTTAAACAATCTTGTTAAGAAAGACCTTATTTTCAAATCCACATTTCTCAATGTTTTTTTTATGTAATTGCATTGTTTAAAATTATTTTAGATTGTTTATAGTCTAAATAACCATATAATCATTTATTTATACTTTATCGAGTTAAAATTAATTTAAAAATAGTGGATGTCAATGATGGGGACACAAAAATTAACTTGCGCCAACTAACGGCATAAGCCATAATGTAAGGTAACCAAATCCCCTCAACATACATATCAACGTATTAATGTTTAATACTGTCACGTGATTTTATAAGAATCAAAGTATTTGAGACTAGAAAAAATTGCTAAAAAAAACCTGGTAAAAAATATAGAAAAGCTAGGTCTTAAACGAATTTTAAAATAATGAAAATTATTGATAATTTTGCATTAGTTATTAAAAATGATGATTGTTAATTTAAATTAACTGTAATAAAAGACTTGTCAATAATAGGGTCAATGGTACGTCAATAATCGGCTCTTTGAATTTTTTGCGCTGTCAATAATACATACATTCGACCTGTTGGTTTTAAGTTGATATAATAATTATTAAATTTATTGCTGTAGTTAAAAAATGTAAGAAAATAATTTTTTAAATAAATTCATGTGCAGCGATCGGATTTCTTTATTCAAGAATATCCATTTAACCACAATTTTATATTTTTATTTCATATTTTCCTGCTTAATTATTCTAGATATGATGACCGTACTAAAAACACGTACACAGAGACCTACAGCAAACACAACGATCGAAGAAGATCAAGTGAATTAGGAAGCAGTCTCTGAAACGAAACAAAATTTAGATTTTAATTAAAAACAAAAAAAATAAAAGCAATTAAATGAAAACGTCAAAGTAATCAATATTATATTTAATTATAAATTAAATATTATCCTATATTTTTTTTATATTACCGCATAAAATATATTTTATAATGCTAAATACTTGTCCATGTAAAAATTAGCATTAACGTATTCTTTATATTGTATAAAAAATGATTTTCATAGAATTTATTAAATTAATTGTCAAAATTAGCTTCTCTATTTCTCAATTAATCATCAGGGTAGCTAATTTTATTATTTATTATCATCGTCATCATTCATTCTCATTTTATTCCAAAACATTTCACATTGAGTAAGCACTCAGTGGCCTTTTTCCTCTTTTTATATGTTATTCACTAAAATATCAAACAAATACTGCACAAAGCGAGCAGTCCAATAGTATATTTTATTACATTTTCTTTCTTTTTGAAAAAGGCTGAAGAGCTAAAACCGCGATAGCGGCAAAAAAACTCTCCATTCGCAATAAAAAAAAAAAAAAAAAAACTCTAGTACCAAAGTTTAACTATAATTGCAATTATTACTGATAAAAAATTGACCAAAGAATTGAAAATTAAATTGATCGATATAATCGGTCATATGAAAATTTAATCGCCTCGTTGGCTAAATTAACAACTTAACGCTTTAAATAATAAATATCTTTTGTATAACTTGATTATATTTATAGCTAATTTATAATGCTAATTCGTACAATGAACACACGATTTCCATTCAAAGTGTCTCGGAGAAGATCATTATACTTTATTATAGATAGCTTAATATGGCATTAGTGAAAAAATATTAAAAATTTACAATTTAATATAATTTTTTTTATTCGAATTTCGTTCCATAGTTTATTAAAAAATTCTACTTTTTGATTTTTTCCCGCTACTCTGGGAAAACATTTTTAATTAAAAATTCTGTATTCATTATACGCTGAGAAACAAATTTCTTTGAAAAAAATTGAAAAATTGGCATTGTGATAAGAAATTAATTTGTTAAAAATTTAAAACAATTTTATTTCTTAGCTGAAAAAAAATTTTTTTGATCTGAAAAAAACAACTTTTTGATTAAAACTTTTTTTTTACAAAAAATTTTTTTTATTTAACAATAAAATTACTGTAAAAAAAAAGTCTTTCCTCAGCTATTAAGAAATAAAATTTTTAACAAATCAATTTTTTATAACATTGATTATTTTTTTTAAAGAAATTTTTTCTCTCAGATCAAATTTTATAGACTTAAGCATTTTGATCTCTAAAAATGGAAAAAAAGTTAAAAAAAATTTATTTTGAGAAATATGCTGATAAAAAAATTAATTAGACTCAAGAAAAAAATTTTTAATCAAAATCATTTTGAATAATTTTATTAAATTAAGTTAAAAAATTTTAAAACCAATTTAAATTTATTTTTTGGCTCAAAAATTTTTCAACTTTCTTCAAAATGTTTTTCTTGATTCAAAATTTTTTCTCTTTGCTCAAGTAAGCTTTTTTGTCAGTATATAAAATCAAAAAGTACAGAAATCAAATCCGACAATTTTTTTATTTTGATTTCTTTTAATGTCCTTTTATAGCGTTTTGTAACACGATATAAAAATTGATGAATATAGAAATTTTCAATTTTTAGAGTAGTTTTGGTTACAAACAATATCGATTACATATGTGTGATATTTAATAATTCTATTTATTTTTCTCCGAGTATATAATTTATTTGAGATTTTTTGGATAGTTATTCATTAATTAATAATTATGAATTAATTAAAATTTTAATATTTTTTTGCTTTTGCCGTTTCAAACAAAAGCGAGGTTATTTTCTGATGTTAATAATTTTTTAAGTTTCAATAATTTATAAATAAATTATTTTTCATTTACCTCATTCTCAGGGTTCATTACATCATTATTATAAATAATTAAAATTAAGTTAAATATAAACCAAAAGGCAATATATAACGTATGCTCAAGGGCCAAATCATGATCGTTCACCAAACGAGCTTTATTATAAATTATATAAATCAGTAAAACCTGTACATAAAAATAAAAAATTTTAATAAAATGAATATATATTTACTGTAATAATAAATAAGTTCCATGGGAACGAGACTGGCCTGACATATTTATACGAAACCAACTCGTAAAGGAAATGAAATATGAGTGTTGAAAAATTAATATTATATATTAATTGTAATAATCTATTTAATTAGAGTTATAGTGCAATGTATAAATAATGTGTGTTGTGAAATACAATTGATTGTGTATGAATGTTTATGGGTGTTAGTTTTGTGAAAATATATACCATAAGAATATACTGCTGTCACTTGCCATACCGAGTATATACGTATATACACTGAGAGAAAATATTTATTTAGAAAAAAATGAGCATTTTTGAGATAAGAAATTAATTTGATTAAAATTTTAATTCTTAATTCAATAAATTGAAATTTTTTCTTACAGTAATTTTCTTTAAAAAATTTTTTTTAATGAGAAAGTTACCGTGAGAAAAATTTTTGTTTCTTCAGCTTACACGGAAAGAACAAGATGACACTGGATATCATCCCAGATTATACTCAGTGATATCTGTGATGAAAAAAAATTTCAGATAGTAGCTAAAAAAATCCATATTATAATGCGTGATGTCTGGATTATACTCATTGTAATCTGGATTATACTAGCTACTATCTGAATTTTTTTTCACTCAGTATAATCTGGAATGATATCCAGTGTCATCTTGTTTTTTCCGTGTTTCTACACGGATTTCTATAAAAGATTTCTATTTCTATAAAAAGATTTGGAAAATCTAAAAGTGCACGCCTCAAAACGCTCATTTAATTTTTAAGAAAAAATAAGTCGTACTACTTGTACTGACTTAATGGAAAAATGACTCAGTAGAATTAACAGAAAATAAACTGCGAAATATACAGAGTATATATTCTGTAAAATTAACAGAAAAAATAGGTAATTTTTACAGATAAGATTATGTAAAAACTACAAATTTTTTCTGTAAAATTTACAGATAAATTCTTTAAAATCTTCAAGGGTATGTTATCGTTTTAGACTAATTAAGTTCTTGAATTAAAATTAAGTTTAATTATTAATAAAAAATGGAAACAATGATCCGTTAATAGTAAATTAAAAAAAAAAAGTTTGGAATATTTAAAAGTGCACGCCTCATAATGCTCATTCATTTTTTAAGAAAAAAATAAATTGTGTAATTGATTAAAAAAAAAAAAATAATTAAATAATTTCTTATAGAGTATTTTTTACTTTTTTTTAATTATCGGCGCTCGTTTTTCTTGTAATATGCGCACACAATCTAAAAAAATCTAGCTTGATCAAGTGGCGCCATAATTTTCACGTGAAAGAAATAGGAAAAGTTCGTTTGTTTTTGTACGTGTGTGTCATAGTGAATTTTAATAAAAATTTAATTTAAATAAAAAAATACGTAAATTAGGCTACTGATTTGAAATACGGCACCAGTTCATCGAATTCTCAAACTAATAAAAAAAGCCCGATCTCGAAACATCTATTTGTTCGGGAGTAATTGTAGGAATATACAAAATGGGGTGATATCAAGACATCTAGGTAAAATTTTTTTCGAAACGTTTTTTTTTTTTTTTTTTTTTCAAAATAGCAACATGAAATGATTTCAGAAAGTATCAAATGGTTTAATTCAAGTGTTTGCTCGATGCACATCTACTTATATTATTGTATAAGTGTAATATGATTGTAATAGAGACATTTGAAGATCAAAAAATTGCTTAACCTTGACGAGCTGGGTGTAAAGCATAACCTCACGCGCTTCGCGCTATGGGGCGTGCAATTTTCATCATATGTTAAACAATTATTTTTTTTACTTATTATAAAAAAATGATTTGTCTAGAAATTTTTTTTTAATTTCAAAATGGTAATGTAAATTTATTTGCAATGGTGCTGACCCGAGTAGCCTTTTTCAATTTATTATGAAAAATTTTTAGTAATAATTACAGAAAAAGTCCTACTATAATTACAGACTCAATATGCAAAATTTACATATTTAGAATGACAGAATTTAAAATAACATTTTGTGTTCGGTAAATTTAAAAATCAAATTCTGTAAATTTTAAAAAGTATAGTTTTTTCCGTGAATTGTTTGTATTGAATGGAACTTCGTGCCATTTTCATTTCAGATGAGAAAAATCGGCTGCAAGCGCACCGCTGAACAAATAACCGAGCACCCATGCGTTGCTTAAGATTAGTCTTTATTTTTTATATATGTCAAATAGATATATCAAAGCCTAGTAGATGTTTTTTTAGTTTTTTAGGCTCGAAAATTCTTTTTCCGTTTTTTTCACACTTAATAAAGTGAATTTTAAAAATATAAAATGCATTAAAACGAGCGTTTTTTCTTGACATACGTCTATTTATATTATTCTGTAAATGCAACATGAATATTTAGATATTTTTACTTCAGAAAATTGCTTGATATCAATAAGGCGAGAGTAAAGCACTACTATGAGGTGTGCAATTGTTTAGAATTAAAAAAAAATTATTTTCTTATTACAAAATTGCTCATTTTTTTCAGAATAAATTTTTTTTTCTTAGTATCCCGGGTCGAAAAATTTAAACTGATTTTAAGCTAAATGATCTGCATTTGAACTTATTGATCTGTATTTGAACTTTTAAAAACATTTTCATCTGTATTTGATCTACTATTCACATTATTTTTGATCTGTTTTAAGTCTAAATAACTTTTTAGTAAAATAATTGAGCAGCTATGAATATTTTATGCTGTTTCTAATCTAATGAAACTAAAAAGTTTTAAAAGTTTGATCGGTTTTTAGTCTAGTTAATTTGTAGATGGACTTTATGTATTGTTTTCAAATTCAATATGAAATCTTATATTGTTTTTGATCTACAATTTTCACTCTAAATGTTCAAAGGCCAAAAGTCGACTAAAATGGTGACATAATTTTTTGGACTTAAAAGTATCTCATT